AAAACTTTAAATTAGAGTGAATAAACGAAGACTCGGCACACCACTTCTGAAAGGTTGCGTACCCCTGCTATACACACAGAAAAGACAATCCTAGCATCAACACTAATTATTGTACTCAACCGAACTCCTTGATCAAATCTTAATTACAAGACAAGACAAGGTATGTGAAGAGACTCAGAGCTTCCCCCAAGATTGTGAGGTGATGAGCAAACTATTGTATGCTCTCCCTTCTGTCCCAAAGGGAGGAGAAATTTGGAAATAATTTAAAAAACAATATAAATGGTTTGGCCAGGTACCCCTTTGGGGATTACAGCCCACACGCTGCTAGCTGAGAGCCTTGTAGTCATGCCTTTCTCCATCCTGCCACCTGGTTGCTTGAAACAGCTGCAGGGGTGGGAAAGTCAGGAAACACCTTGCATCTGAAATGCCCCCTTCGGCCAATTAAGAAGTGATGATAATCATGGGTACCAGTGAGGAAATTCAAAGCAGAGGCTGCCACTTGACCCCAACTCACTGTGTTTTGCCAGCATATTGGCAGAGTCAGACTGCTGAGTTCACATAGCAGCTGAGCCTTAAATAAGAAACGCCCTTGCTTTTATTGGACAATGGTTGTACAGAACCCTGACTAGCACTACAAATGTCAGAAAGCAAGTTGCTGATTTTAAAAAATAAATATTGATACGTGGCTGGAGGGGATAAGAACCTGTGGGGGGGAGCATGGAAGAGCCCCCTTTGCAGAAGCTACTACATAGAGTTTAGCCTGCATAGTATGCGTGAAGACAGGACTTCGGGGACATCTACACTCTGTGGCACCAACCCCCTTGGAACCTGTGGGATTTTTCAGGTAAGTTAAGTTTGTCAAGGCAGGGATCACATCCTTTGGCTGTACAGAGAGGAATCTAGCATGCTTTTTGGTGCTGTTAAAATAAGAAGAATAATTAATATAAAGATTCCTTCAGCATTAACTTCCTTGCTCCATCTCCAATTTAGAACCCTGTGAGGGGAATCCAGGAGCAGCAGATGACCCGGAGTTCGGTGCCTGCGAACTCTTGCAGGAATCATATTATCAGGGCATGCTAGCGTAGAGGCAAGCATTCTCAGCATAGCTGGACCTCACCACACTGGATCCTCTCCAAGATCCAGTGGTTCTAGGGCTGAACTCACTGATGCTGACAAAATAAGAAGCATTTGGCAAAGGGAACATCACTGATTTTCATGTTCCCTATGTGGGAGCAGCTGTGAACACAATCAAACCTGGCAAATGTGCTCTACATCACATTATCAGATGCCTGAAACAGTTCCTCCAGTGCTTTATTTAAAAATGTCATTAATAGTGCTAGATCTTGCAAGTTGCTGAGTGTGTTTAAGTACTTTACTGCATCAGGGCCAGAGGGCTCAGCACCTTCACAGATTGAACCCTCAGCCTCCAGGGGTGAGGGGACTATCATAGAGTCGGTTAACATTTTCAAAGCACGTGAGCTACTTGGGAGCCTAAATCACATTTTCAAAAGTGACTTAGTCATTTAGGAGCCCAACTTTCAGCAAAAGTAACTTCTGAAAATGGAGTTTAGGCTGCCAAGTCACTTACGGCACTTTTCAAAATTTTACCCTCATTCCCTACAATGGCATTAGCTGCATGGGGGAAATGATAGACATCAGAGACAAGGCCCTGATTCCGGAAAGCAGTTAACACATGCTTACGTCCATTCCTATTCAGGGAAACATTTAAGAACGTACTTTTGTCCCAATGAAGCCCAAATCCTCAATCCAGACCTAAATGAAGAATTAAAAGTAAATTTTAAAGTTACTTACTATTACAGTAGCACTGAAGAAGCACCAGGGGCTGTCCCGGTGCATAGGAAGACACAGTCTCTTCTCCTAAGAGCTCACCGCCTAAAAAAAGACCAAACACAGAGGAAGGGTTGTGGGTACACTACACAAGCAGAGTGATCAGTGTGATGGCTCATGCACAGCTTGTTATTGGACAGTTTGTATTACACCCCCCAGCTGCCCCTCAACCCGGCCATCGTTTGCTGGGTTAAAGGCCCCTTTTTAAAAACTACTAGTTGGGGTTTAATCCTCTGCAGTTGCCTGTTTGTCCATTGTAACCGTGGCCTTCCCGTGGCTGGGATTGCCTTGGCTCGGCTGCACTTTGCCCCCTCTCCAGTTAATTCCATGACTTGTGCCTGGTTTATTTACGTTTTTAACCCAGCCCCTATTTTCCAGGCTGTGTTTAACGGCAGGGGTGCGAGTTTCCGGGGCGCTGTTGCACGCACCATGACCTTGGCATGGGCAGCCCCTGGGCAGGGGAGAAACAACAGGCGGGGTCGGCTTGGCTGGTCTGCGCATCAGGTCTGCAGGCCTTTGTGCTCCCTGGGGCCAGGGGCAGCAGACGGGGAGGGACCCAATGGGGCACCCCCGCCTTCCCCCGCAAGGGGCTTCGCCATGCTCCCAGTGGGTGGGCCGCCTGCTCCCTAGCTCCAGGGGCCCCACTGCCACCCACCCTGGGGGGCCTGCACTGGGATGCGCTCTCCCCTCCCCCCACTAGGGGTCTATTATCAGCGACAACCAGGAGAGACTCACATACAGGCCTGAGGCTGGACAGAGCTTGTCTCCATAGCAACCACCAAACTCAGGGGGCCTAGCATCCAGATTGGTTTAGCAGGTGCCTGTCAGGCGTAGCCACTGAACCACGCCCTCGTAAGGTTTTTGCCTATGGAGAAAGGAGAACAGAGGGATGGAGGGGCCGTCGCTGGATTTTATTCACCCTTCCACGGGTCGTTTTCTAGTCAGGCAGTAATTTCGGTCGCCTAAAGGGTCCTTGCGATGTCATATCCCGGCGTGCTTTGCGGCCGCTCTCCCTTTCGCCGCCATCTTGGGTCGGAGGCGCGGAGGTGAGTCCGGGAGCGGAGGTCCCGAGGCCGGTTAAGCGGGCTTCTTCCTCCACATGGGGCGGGGGCAGGTGCGGCGGGGAGCGGGCTGTGGAGCGGGGGCCGTGTGCAGCGGGCAGGCGGCGGGATGAAGCCGATGCGGGGCGGATGGGGCTAGGCCCTGGGCTGAGCCGGCTCCGAGCCCGGCGCCTCCCGGCTTCCACTCGCCCGAGAGGGGCCCTTGGGGGAGGCCTCTTGACTGGACATCGCGGGGTGGGGGCCTGGCCTGGCTAAGGTAGCCGGCCCGTGCAAAGCTGGGTTCCGCCTCAGCCGGCCGGGGTCTAGCTGGGAGCCCCTGGGACTGCTCCCCTCTCCGGCCACCTAGTCTGGGGGGGTCGCCTGGGATCCCCTGGGGCGTGCCGGCCGCTGCGGGGGGGCTGGTACAGCCGTTGGGTGCTAAATTCCCTAGTGTGGCATCTAAAGTCTTTTTGTGCTTCTCAGGCCTGCTGGGAGCAGGACTTCAGGACGACACCATGTCTGGGAGGTGAGCGATGGGCTCTGAAAACTTCCTTTCGCCTTTGCTGTCGCTGGACGTGTTACACTGGCTGGGGGGCTTCATACATCTCACACATTTCCTCTCCGTATCACCATCTCAGCTGTAGAATGTGCTGTGTTAAACATATCTAAGCTCTGACCCTCTGTTGTGATGTGGTTGTCATAACCAATACTATTCTTCTCATCCCAAACATCTGTCAGCTATAAAATCTTGCCAAGCCTGTTCCACTGCACAGTTGTACGGATCAGTACGTTCTTGGACATCTAGACTCCTATCCCATGCTGCCGCACAGCTTTTCGCACAGGGCACCACACTTTGCAGAGTGCTCTGCACAGACAGGAAGTAAGACTGGATAATTAGGTCACAGACATAGTAACTGGCCCTGTCTGTGTCAAGAGTTGTTAGACTCTGATTGCAACCTACTGATTGTGTTACAGTTGGAAGCTACTTGTCTTGTGTATGGATGCAAACTGCATATGCAATTACCCATGTTACAGTTTGGTTATGGATTTAAGTGCAGCCTGGACAGATCTCTACTGTAAAAATAACCATGTTAAGAAACTCCTTTATAGCATAATTGCTTAAACATAGTTTCTCAGAACATAAAAACCACCATACTGGGTCAGCCCAATATCCTGTCTTTCGACAATGGCCAATACTAGGTCCCCCTCTCCCCCCCCAGGGAATGAACAGAACAGGTAATCATCAAGTGATTCATCCCCTGTTGCCATTCCCAGCTTGTGGCAAACACAGGCTGGCCACTTCAGAGCATGGTTTTGCATCCCTGATCTCGGCTAATAGCCTTTGATGGGCCTGTTCTTCATGAATTTAGATAGTTCTTTTTTGAACCCTGTTATAAATCTTGGCCTTTAGAACATCCTCTGGCAAAGAGTTCCACAGTTTGTGTGGAAAAAATACTTCCTTTTGTTTGTTTTAAACCTGCTACCTATTAATTTTCATTTGGTGACCCCTAGTTCTTGTGTTAGGAGGAGTAAATAACACTTCCTTATTTATGCATCCGAAGAAGTGGGCTGTAGTCCACGAAAGCTTATGCTC